CACTGTACTTCTGACTGCATGAAAATATTTTTATTGCATAGAAAGGATGATCATAATCTTTTTTTTTCATAGTATAACAGAGTGCAAGCTGCTTCTGACTTCACAAATGTTCAGGACAATAATATCTACTTCAAAAACTCTCAAGACTTCAAGCCTCTTTGGGACCTTATGTCAAATGTAACTGGACAGATTCACATTTCTTCAACAATAGATGAATCAGCCTTTTCTCTGGCTTTTAATTTTTGTCTTCACAAATTTTTGGTCTGTTTCCTTCAAGAACACACAAAACATATTTAAGGAGCTTGTTTTGTTATCAGAATAACTGAATTAGATACAATAGTTCTCTAGCCATAAGGAAAGAAGGTAGGAATTACCCTTGTGCTGTCCCGTATAAGAAATTGAGGTTATAGACAATGAATAGCTAGATATCACAGTTTAATAAAGCTTCTCAGCAAACACACACACAGTTAATAGTAAAACACATACTAGAGTCTTTTTTAGAGATACTGTCTAATAGAAAAGTCCTCATTTGGACACTTCTGATAAACGGAGAACTGCTGCTAGCAAAGACAGCAAGCTCCCTGCCAGGAACACCTCAGCCCAAGGGAGCGTTGCGGCCACAAACCACCACGACACCAATCGTGCGAACAGTCTGCAGCACCAATGCCCCTGCAATGGCACGCTGCGTGCTGCCCGGGCCAGCACTGCTGCCCTGCTGCTTCCACACCCCTACGCCCCAAAGCTCGCAGCCTGTCCTTTCCAGCAGCTAAAAGAGATGAACTGGAGACCGCCTGAGCTCTCCCTCCACCTTCCTCAGCAAGTGCCACTTGTCTGTCTCCGAAGCAAAGCGTCAGACAGAGGTGCCACACAGGTGATCTGTGGGTGCTGCACGGGCTGTGCTGCTGCCGGCGCCAGGCAACTCACGTCCTGGGTACCTGCGGTCCCGGCTGCCAGTACAACTGACCTGTCAGTGCAGGGCTCTACTCCTCACGCTCACGACTTGGGAAGGTTGGGAGAACTTGCGCTACAGAACACGTAACACACAGGTCCTTCTGCCAAGCTGCTTCACCTGCTGAGGCCTTTGCTGATCAAAAGGGAAGCCAAAAGGGAAACCTCCAAAAGAACTCAGCTGTTAGAGACATTTGTTATTTGCTGCAGCTGGGTGGAACAGTTAAACCAACAAACAGATGATGAAAGGGTGTAATAAGAAAGATCTGAAGCATGACTGAGAAAGAAGTGTACTAAATTGGTACTAATTCTCCCCTCCAGCTATTTCTGTACAAGTCTATACGTAGACAGTGATCTCAATTGTTTTTTTTTAATCTAACCCAAAAAAGCATCCGTGAACAGATTTGCTCTGAATTTGAAAAAATAACTGAGAGAGTTTAATTCCCAACCTTGCATCTACCTGACAACCCCCTGAAACCTTAACTCATGTAGAACACACACTGAAAATCCAAGTTTGGCTCCAGCATTTCTCATTTAGACTATCACTGAATCTCCATCGACACTGAAATCAACTTCTTGTTGTATCTCCTAGAAACCAGCTCCTGCTCCCTCACCGATGTTCCCGCAGCGCGATGCTGGTTCTGACCACCACTCGTGAAAAAAACAGGCAGGCAATCCAGCAACGCATTCAAGCACGACCGTGCTAAAAGCGCTTGCCTTGCGAACACCCGGGCAGTCGGAGCAATGACTCCCAGGCTGTGGACGCAGCAAAGGGCCAGAGTCACGGAGCGTGCGACCCGCAATTCGGGTGGGGCCAGAGGAGGCCCCGAGGCACCCGCGGACTCCAGTCCCCGCACTCCCCCCTTACCTGTCCGCCTGCTGTACCACACGCCCGGCTCTCGCACCTCAGCCACGCGTTCCACTTACCTATTTTCCCCTCACACTGCGCTGTCGGAGCTGACGGGAGCGGCTGCTCGCCCCGGCCGCAGCGCATCAGCCCCGCTGCTCGGGGGCGGCGGAGCCCCGCGGGGGGCACCGGGCGGGCCTGCCCGCAGCCCCCCGCGGGAACTGCGGCTCCTCCTCTTCTCGGGAGCGTCCCGCCGCCGCCGCGAAGGCTCGGGCGGCCCCACCCCTGGCTTTTCTGAGAAGGGAGAAGGCGGGGGTCACCGCAGGGAGCGCCGCTCACCCAGCGGGACGCCCCAGGGGAGCCGCCCGCCCCGCTACCGGCCGGGACAGGGCGGGCGCCCCGCAGCCGGGCCCCGCGGCACCGCTCCGCACTTACAGGCCTCGCCGCCGTGCCGTTCCGTGCTGCTCCGGGCTGTGCCGGGCCGGGGCCGCCGCTTCCGGGGCCGCAGGACGCCGCGGAGCGGGGAGCGCTGGGCCGCGCCGCGACCCGGAAGCGCCGCCCCCGGAAGTGACGTGGCGGGGCAAGGCCGGGCGCAGGCGCGGGGAGGCGGCCGCGGCCTCGCAGGGTCTCCCGGGCCGGGCCCGGAGCCGCGCTGTGTCCCGAGCACCGATTGCGCGGCTGCTCACCGGCTCTAACGGAGAAAATCTCTGGAAACACCTGACTTTTTAACGGAGGAGACTGGTAGTTAAGACTTTCAGCTGTTTCTCATTGCAAGGAAAGAAACAGGGTGCTTTTCTGATGGAGATTATGTCAGTTTTATTCCCAAATCCACTAGTGTTTTATTGCTGAAAACACCATGGGATTTGTATTCAGTTTGTGGTTTTAAAGCCAGCCTTCCACGTAGCCCATCACCCATAAACGGGATGCGTTCAGACAAAGCTAACTTGAAAAATAAAATAACGAACCATCCTGGCCGTGCTGAGGTTGGGCTGCCCCCGTGCCCCACCTCACCCCCAGCGCAGCCGCCCCGTGCCAGCCCGAACCCGGGATGGCTCTGGGTGCTCCTGGACTCGTTTCCCTCCTGATGTTGGTCTCTGGCCTGCTGACCGTGCGGTTGGGCCATCGCTTTCCAGACTTGCTGATGCAGTCTGCTGCAGAAGTAACGAGGCAATCTTGGTTCATTCCTCATCAAACCACAACCTTGTGGTCTCTAATGGGCTGTACGTGCCAACAAGCGTCAGCCTTCGGAACGGAGGGTACGTGAGGAGCCTCAGAGTTCCAGCGAAGGTGCCCAAGTGGGGACACGTGCTCGGTGCTGGGCAGTGGCCGAGCGGCAGCGGGGCTGGAAGCGCTTCAGCAAACAGCGGGTCACGGGAAGCGTGAGGCCACAGCCAGGAGAGGCAGTGGAGCGTGAAGAACCATCTTCCAGCGATCACCTCATGCTGCAGTTACTCGATAAACCAGTAGGAAAAGTAACCCAGAAGAGCAGCTCTCTGCTGATTTGGTGAGGCCAACCAGATCACTGTGGGGCGAGAGGAAGACCAGAGCTGGCCTGAGGAGCGCTGCCCCTCTTTGTGGCCGTGCCAGGCAGCTGTTAGAATTGCTCCTGCTGTGAAACTTTGCCCTCAGTGGACAAACTGATCAGAGAAACACTCAAAATAATAGTAATAAAAAAGGTCTTTAGAGTAGCGTTCTTAATAAAGCTGGATGACACTAAGAACACATTCGCTCAGACCAGAAAATGGTAATCAGGATGGAAGATAAATAGAATTTGAATGCTAATTGCTTGGAGGGACAGTAAAAGCATAGTTATGTTAACCAGAAGTAATCCACAACAGTTAAACATAACCTCTGTGAGAGGTGAAGGGTCCCAAATCAAACTGATGACATCCAAGTTACGGTCCAGAGTGAAGGTACGATGATGGTGATGTCAACCGTGATTGAGAGAAGAGGCAAACGGAAGCCAAGGAGGAAGATTGAGAGCTCTGTTTTAGCCACGCTGAGCCGGAGTTGTCAGCCATACATCCACAAAATGTCAGAGACGAGGATGAGATTTTCGTTTGGACATGACTTCTTTCAACTGAGACTGTCCATCACAGGTAAAGTACGTACAACAGATTAAGTATCACTTTAATTGCTACTGCGGCTCTCCATCGCCACGCTACAGGTGGTTTTCCCTTCCCTGAGAGGTCTCTAGCAATAAGTTTTGTTACACACTCAAAATGTGAAGGCAGTTAATCAGAATTACAGTAACTTCTGCTATATATTTGCGTGGGGCAGGTGTTCTACATAAAAACAATTTGAGGGGGTGTGTGTGGCAATGATCTAAAGATAACCCCTTTATAGAAGGAAGTCTTAGTTATTCTTGACATATGCATTTTTTTTCTCTTCACACGTTTGGCACTTTATGCATCTATGCAAAAAGATGGATTTGAAAGGAGAAGTTGGTTCCCAAAGCGGGACCCTTTAAAGCACGGCTTGCTGAGCCAGAAAACCCTCCCTGAAGGCTTCTGACTCAGGACCGCGCCCGGGGCCCGGCCACACCGTGACGAACAGACCGGCTGCGAGCGGGCCCTGGCCCGCGGCCCCTCCGCCCCACGGCCGGAGCTGCCGGCCACGGGCTCCCGCGGCACCCGGGCTGGCAGGGGCGGCGGGCGGGCCCCCGAAGGGTACTCGCAGCCCGGGGGTGCCGGGGGTACCGGGTGTCGGGGCCCGGCGCGGCGGCGACGCTGAGGGGAAACGCGAGGCCTGAGCCCGGGGGATCACCATAGCAACGCGAGGGGCGGGGCCGCAGCGGCTCTCGCCCCGGCCACGTGACCGTTCGAACAGCCCAATCAGAAGTTTCTGAGCCGCGGGGCGGGGCCCGCGCGCCAGCCGGCGGCCGCGGCCCCGCCCCGCTCCGTCTGAGTGGCCAGCGCCGCCGCCGGCGCCCGCCCTCCGGCGCCGCCATTGGCCGCCGCGCCCGCCGCTCCCAGCCGGGGCCTCCCGCCCCCCCCCCTCGCCTCCCCTCCTTCCCCCGGGAGCTCCGCCGCCGCTCGGCCCGGCGGGAGGGCGGCCCCGCCGAGCCGGGCCCCGGGGAGGGCGGGCGGCCCCGGGCGGGGCGGTGGCGGCGGCGGCCCCGCCCGGCGGGGAGGGCCGTGGCGGGGCGGGGCGCGGGGCGGGGCGGCGGGGCGGGGCGCGGCGGGTTCCGCGTCCCTCTCGCGCGCGGCCGCTCTCCTCCTTCACAGGGTGACACGTCCGCGGTGAGTGAGTGGCGTTGGCAGGCTGTCAATCCCTCACCGGAGCGGCCATCAAACAACATAAAACACACACAGGCACCGGGCGGCGGGGCTCATAAATTCCAGCGGGCCGATATTTTTGCACATTGCTTTGCAGAGAGTGTGTAATTAATTTTTTTACAGTTCTTTCCCCGTTATTTCCGCTCTTTTCTTTGCACAAGTTCAAACTTTTGATTGCTGCTGTTTTACCCCCGTTGCACAGACTTGGGATCGTTTGTTATTTTTCAGGGGGGAGGGCGATTAATTTTTTTTTTTTTTTTAATTTTTCCCTCTGTGATTGTGTTTTCTTGGCTTTTTTTTTATGTTGCAATTTGGGGGTGGGGGTGTTCTCCTGGTTTGTTGTGGTTTTTGCTGTTTGCCACCCTCCTAACTTCTTGAGGATTTGAAAGCGAGTTTTTGTGATTTTGTATGCAATTTTTTTTTTTTTTTTAATTTTGCCTTTTTGCAAAGAAGATTTTTGGACAAGTGGGGAAAGACATAAAAAGCAACAATAAAAATAAAAAAGGAAAAAAAAAAAAAAAAAAAAGCTTTGGAGGAAGATTGTACCAGGAAAAGAAAACTGCAAAGAAACCTTATCAACTCATTTATCCAAGCCACAAATATGATGATGAAAGAAGATTGTAACTAAAGACGAGAGTGATTTACTGCACTGGGAAGAAGAGAGTGGAATAAACAGCTGAGATCCGGTCAAAACACAAATACTGATTTTTTTTTGTTGTTGTTGTTGTTGTTTTCTTTGGCTTTTTCCTTTTTTATTCTCTGGCGTGTGTGTGCAAGAGCGGGCGCGGCGCCGGGCGCTGGGACTGCCGGGGGAGCCCGGGGTGCTGCTGCTGTGCCCCCGCCGCCCGGGCCGCGGCACAGCCATGGACGATCAGTCCAGGATGCTGCAGACTCTGGCCGGCGTGAACCTGGCCGGGCACTCGGTGCAGGGGGGCATGGCCCTGCCTCCTCCCCACGGACACGAAGGGGCAGACGGCGACGGCAGGAAGCAGGACATCGGCGACATCCTCCATCAGATCATGACCATCACTGACCAAAGCCTGGATGAGGCACAAGCAAAGTTGGTTTCGTCTAATTAAACCTTGTCTTTTTTTTTTTTCTTTTTTTTTTTTTTTTTTTTTTTCTGGTGTGTGTGTGGTTTTTGTTTCTCTCCTTCCTGCTCCTCTGCGGAGACCCGGAGTCTCACAATTAGAGCAACTTCTTAGTGCCGTAGGAGAAATTGCAAGCAGCCAAGGCAGAGCCAAAGTTGCTATTTCGTATTTTTTTAAAAAATAATAGCTATATATATAAAATAAATCTATAAATATGCGACGCTTATGCCGTCGCTCCGGTGCGCGGGAGGCTGTGGCCGATCCTGCCCGCTCCCGTTGGACACTGTCCGGCGGGCACCGGCCTCAGCCGCCGTCTGTCCGTCCGTCCGTCCGTCCGGCGGGCGGCTCTGCGCTCTCCCTAGGAGTGCAACTTTTTCCCTTTCTTTTCTTTTCTTGTCTCCCTGCCCCCGAAGTAGCGGCTGATGAATTACAAACCTGACAAGATATTGCTGCGAGGGGGGGGGGGGAAGAGAACGGGGGGGGGGGGGCAACTAACCCCCCCCAACCCAACCCAACCCTGGCTGTTTTAAATCACAGTAAATACAAAAACAAAGAATGTTAACTCTGCGAGTTGGCCCCCCACCCCCCTTCCAATCTCCTTAATAAATCAGTTATAATATCGCCGGACGGATCGTACGGGGGACAAGGGGGGTTGATTTACACCCCTCGGTCGGGCGGCATTTGCACAAAGATAATTCGGTATAAAAGTCAGAGGGATGAGGGGAAGGCAGACCCGGCAGCCGCGGCTGGGCGAGGGACCGCGGCCCCCCCCGGCCGCTCCGCCCGCCAGCCCCGCGGCCCGGCGCCGGGAACCGGCGGGCCGGTGGCTGCCGGCGCCGGGCCGCGGGGCCGGAGGGCCGGGAAGGAGGGGGCGGCCGACGACACGGGGCTCCTTCTCGGCGAAGGCGCCATGTTGCTGAAACGCGGCGCTAACCGCTTGTACTCTGCTCTCTTTCAGGAAGCACGCACTGAACTGCCACAGGATGAAACCCGCCTTGTTCAGTGTCCTCTGCGAGATCAAGGAGAAAACAGGTAAGGGCCGCCCGCGCCGCCGCCGCCGCAGCCATCTTGATCCCTCCTTCCTTCCACCCGCCGCTGCCCGCCGCCGGGGACGGTGCCGGCCCGGTGCCGCCCCTCACGCCGCCGGCCCCGGGGGGCAGGTGCCGCCGCCGCGCTGCCCGCGGGGGTCTCGGCCCGCCCCGCCGAGCTGAGGGACGCCCGGCCCGGCGCGGCGGCGGCGGCCCGGCCCGGCCCGGCGGGCCGGCTGTGAAATGGCGCGGGGGAGAATCCCCCGCCGCTCCCCTCGCAGCTCCGGCGGTGTCCCGCTAGCGCCCGCGCCGCCTTTTTTACCCTCAGGACACTTGGCAAAATACTTGTCAAATCTGTGTTACCTCATAGAAATTTTTTTTTTTTTTTTTTTTTTTTTTTCCCATTTCCCCTGGGCTGCGTAGTGCGCAGCGAGGATGATAAACTTTCTGAGGGGGTGTGCGCTGCCCAGGTTTGGGGGGAGCAAAGCTGAACCCCTGTCAGCAGAGCAGGGGAAGGCGACTTCCAGAGAGACCCTGAGGAATGCCAAGTGACGGATGCTTTGACCCCGGGTCTGTGTAGAGTGCGGCGAAGCTTGAGGTGCTCTTGGGCGATGATGTTTTAAATGCCAAAAATTTCTATCACAAAAGTACAAAAAATAATTTTTTTCTACATCAGTGTGACACTAACAAACTCTGTGGGTTTTTTAGAGGCATTTTAGAGGATTTGTTTTTTTTTTGCAATTTTTTCACATCACTGTATTTACTGATTTTTTTTTTTTTTAAGAAGAAAATTTTCAAAGTATTCTGTTTTGTATTATGAGAATAAGAACATTTATTATGATCTGGCTTTAAAAATAAATATGTCCATTGGATGGCTTTTTAAACTACATTTTATATTCAATCACGTTCCCCTTAATTGCACACTGAAAAAATAAAGACTAGATGAAAACAACAAATGTGAAATCATTGCAAATCTCAGCTGCAAAGCCTAAAAGTGCACAGTTCTCAGTAAATTATGGTGCTTTATGTCCAAGGGTTTCTTTGCTACCGGGGATCCACTTCAGTTTCTGCTGACAGCTAAGCACCAGGGTATTGACTGTGTTGTGAATATTAAGATTGATTCTGCTTTATATTGCATTATATTACCCGGGATAAGGGGAATGATCCCCCTTCTGCCCACCCTCCCCACCTACCTATGTTTTGCCTCGATCAGCTCATAACCCCTTTCTGTCCTTTGGCTTATGTTTGTTTTCTGCCTTTCCCTAAACTTTTTGCCTGTCCTGCTCTGGAGCCAGCCAAGCAACCTGCCCTCGATGTTCAGACATTTTGCAGCAGGCAGATTTCAATTAAGGAGGCAGGCGTAGGTCCTGTGATCAGTTTATTTGCAGAGAGCTTAGCCTCGCTGTTTTGAAAGGAAAGTGTAGTCAACCACATGTCAGAGGTGAGCTGCGAAGAAAAACCCAAGTCCATTCAGCAGCAGGGATTACTGGCAGAGGGTGTTTGGTGAGGCCACCGCCGTCTCGGAGGCGAGAGGGAACCTGACAGGAGACTTTTGGTCTGAAACGATTTGGGGTGTTTCGGTGATAACTTGTAAGTTGGGATCCTGCCTTTGTGCTGCAAGTAGTCGAGCCAAGTTTCCAAGTTATCTCTTTTGTGAAATCGCTGAGAACCAACAAAGAGTGAAGGCGTCCGCCTGCCCAAAGGCAAGATCCTGCCAGCCCCGGCAGCACAGGAGGGACAGGATTAATGCACCGCGTGATTGATGGAGATGAATCCACACCCCCACCAAAAACTGTTCCCGGAGGGGGACCTTCACTCAGGGTCTCCCAGCTGAGATGAAATGTCTGTGTAGGCTTTAGTTTGCGTGCTAAAGCAAGGAAAACGTGAAAATAAATTCTAGCATATTTTCTGTAAGCTGTTTTCAGAGGAGACGGCTCAGACAATTCTGAACTGGAAGGGTGAGCGGTCTGATACGCAGTTAAAGCAGAGGTCCGTCCCCCTCCCCCTGGTACTCGTTATTGTCTTGTCGTCTGAGTACTTAAATCTGCCTGCAACTGGGTCATGCGCCAGTATTTAATTCTTTATAATCAGAACCAAAGTTTACCTCGGTGTTGGCAGTGGGAATTGCTGTGATGGCTTTATCACTACCTTCTTCTGTGAGAAGGACAAGAGGTGAAGAGGGAGACTGTAGTCTATACATAAAGTGTAATTGCAGTCATATCTGTTCTGAAATAAGTAATGCAATATTTAAGTCATTTTTATATTGAATTATGTATTTTTTTATATTTTAGTAGTTTTCAGTACAGTCAGCGAGGACTTTGTGAGACTGATCGTGAGAGAACACGTAGAGAAATCCTCAGTTTAGGTAGAGCAACTCTGTCACTTTCCTGCAAGGGTTAATGAATGCATCACATTTTTAAAAGCCTGTCTCTCTGTCAAACTTAGGGTTAGGAGCTGAAGATTTTTTTTTTTCCCCGTGAGGTATTTACCATGTACAAAGCAAATCACTGAGCTTACTGAATTTAGCCTGACATTTCTTTTTTAACATTTTAACATTTTAAAAAGTGCTGCATAATACATTTAAGAGCTTTACAGATACTAATAGATGCGTGCATTCTTAGAGGCAACCACAAGGTAGCATGGTTTTCATAAAGAAACTGCCACTTACTTCTTTAATTAGTTCAAAGAAAAATGATACCCAAAGTTCTACTGAAGCTTCTCCAATAAAATATGAAGATAAGCAAGTGAGAGTCTATTGCTTCTATTTTGCTGTATTTTACCCGTTCTCTGAGGTGTGGCTTTGAACTGTTAAAGTTGCATTTATAACGTGCGCTCACATCTGTTGCATACCTGTGTAGCAGCCTGTCTCCTTACGCGCCTACCAGTAGGAATCAAAAACTGACCTGCACTTTTTTTTTTTTTTTTTTTTTAAATAGCTCTTTTTTACTGACTAAAAATCCTTCAGATTTGTAATTTGATTAAGCCTCCATTAGGAGGTTGCTATACCTGAGGTACTGGTTATTCTCATGGAGATAGAAATGAAAATATATTAATTCTTGCAGTCTTAAAATGGTTAGGGAATTGCAATTATTTCCCAATGGAACGACATATTACTAGGTCCTGGATTGTGTTGAAAGATGATCTGTTTTTTTGTCTTTAAAAATACTTTGTATAGATAGGAACACACGTTTATAAAAATGTCTGAATGCACGTGTGTATATGCGTACATGTATACATTTATTTATTTATTTCTATAAGCCCAACGGAAACAATGATAGCTGCCAACCAAACCCTAATTTACTGTCACCACAAACCCTAAATAGCATTCATTTACTAGTAAAGCCTAATGGCATACATGATGCTTTGCCAGATTTGTGGCCTTTGTGAGGCTTATAAGCAGGACTGACTTGGGAAGATCATAAAACTTAATGAACTTCTCGACTGCAGGAGGTGTCCGCAGGGGAAGAGAAAGGCCTGCTTGGCTGGTTGGGCTGGTTGAACTATTTTTTATGTCTAAACAGAAAGGAGGAAAATGTGCGTTAAGAACGTTCTCTCCTTGTGCAGAATTTTATTTTAAAGAATGAAAAAAACCCAATAGATATGAAAACCAGACAAATAGTGACGTTAACCACGGGGTTAATTTCTTGCTGTTCCCCGTGTAAGCTAAAACCTTTATTTTTATTGCTACAACTGTAAATAGCCATAGGATGCCATTCCGATGATTAAAGGGCTGTATCGTGCCCTTACTTGCTGCAAAGCTCCATATTGATGAAAATGGCCCAACTCTTTTAGGAACGCCCCTTGTCAATATGCTGCAAAATCTGTAAACCGCCTGTTAGGTAACTCATTTGAGAAGGACTTGCTTTTTGCCTTGTCTGCTAGCAGAATTTGAAAACGTTAACCCCTTTCTTCACTGTGGTTATTTAAAAACTGAATCACAGGACTCTTCCCTTGCATGCCACAAATTTAAACTTTTCCTTGTTTGTAAACTGTCCTTTAATGCCAGCAACTTGCACTAGTATGTAATCATACGCAATCCTAGCAATCCTGTCTGAACATTAAAGGATTCAAGTGGAACAATGAAATGGCACTGCTAGCATACATATATATGTGTGTATGTATGTACATATGTGTGTTAGCTATTTTCTAAATATCAGCCGTGATGTTATTGTTATTCAGTTTAGCTATTTAAATTATTTATGTGCAGTCGTGGTGTTTTTGTCAAGCTGCTAAATACATATTTTTGATTTACCCTGACTACATGAGGAAGTAAGCATTGTGTATTTATGTGCGTACATCTTTTCTTCAGTTTAAATTGTTTAGCTTTTGTTTCCTTTCTCATGTTTCAGTATCCAAGATTTTTCACTGAACCATTGGTTGTACTTTTGCATGGTAGTTTATTTTTTTTTAAATTGTCAGCAAATGTATTACAAATGATGACGTGCAGTAGAATGTTGGGTTATTTACACCGTCCTTACGGCAATGACATTGCTTTTCTTCATACATGTCCTACTAGGAAAAACTAAATTGAATAAAGTAGCTTGATTGTCCTTTGGTCATCTGTTTCAAACACATTAATTAATAAAATTCTATTTCTTTGGTGGGTTTCTAGCTGAGTACTTCTCTGGTTAAGAACAGATGCAGCTTTGGTGATTATTTTCATTAGAGAAATTCATGATACTTTGTCTTACAGAACCTGTAACTACACTGCACCTTTAGACCTTACCATTGCTAGTGCTCCTTGCTATATTTAAGTAACAATCTTCATGTTGATTACTAGGATCAGTGCTTCCAGATCTCTTTTTTTTTTCTGCCCCCCTAATCCCCCCACCCCACCCCCCGCACCACAGAGGATAAATTTGGACCTACTTGTCAATACTAATTTAACTAGGAGCAGGGATTTAATTTATTTTATAGCTATTTTTCATGTCCTGCATTTTATTTTTGAATTTGACATATTTGCTTGCTTATCTGAAAATACTAAATTATGTGAGTTACCGTGCG